TACCATTTACATACTCATTTTGCACATGCATAGTTGCACACTCACTGCTGAGTATTTGCTCCCACGTAGCATATATTCTCTCTGCATTATATTGTGTTCTTGTTGTATTTTTATTTGCTTCCTTCACTGGCTGCTTTAAAGTGCCTTAGATTTGTGATTATACTGCCTATTTAGATTTGTGTTACTTTATATTTCACTTGTATCATGTGGCCTTCATGTGGATGGCAAAGTAAGAATGTCATTGTACAGGGAAACACGTTTCCTAACTGTGCATATGACGAATAAACACTGACCTTTGACCTTGAGAAGAAGGAGATGGAGGAAGAAGAAGCAAGGGGCTGACACTCTCTTTTCTGTCTCTTCTTCAAGGAAACAAGAAATGTAATGTCAATGAATGTGCAAGTATGTCAAATACATTCCTACTGCCACACTGACTTACTGTCAGTTATTGCATGAACCTGTATAAAAGGTGAAGTACAGATAGTTTGCACATATGATGATGGCCGTTTAAGTTCATCAGTTCATCTGTTTTTGACATCTGTGATGTTCTCTAAAAACTAGATGTGTGCTGATAAACTGTTCAGAGGCCACACAGGCCCAAAGAGCGAGAGAGTAAAGTATGCTTCCTCATTCCAAATCCTTTCAGAGACAAGGTGCATTGTTTCCATAGAATCAGATAAGGAAGTGACCTGTGATTATCAAACCTCTTGTTCCTCTTTGTGTCCTGGTTAAACTCTCACGTCTGCTGGTCCACAGCTGCTCAATGACAGACATAGAGGAGCAGCCTGCACCTTTTAAAAGTCGGGGGCAAACTAAACTTTTCATTCTACATATATATAGTGAGCTCAGGCATGAGGGTTGCTATTTGGAAATACTTTTTTTTTTAGACAGGAAGGAGACATTTTTAACAACTTTTTATTTATACTGATTGTGATGTCAGCAGCTTAGTTTGAGCCTAACACTTTATTACAAAAATCCTCCAGTCTTTTACCAAAAATGACGAGCGTTTGTTTGTCTCTGCTCCTGTACTTGGTCAAAGCTCCTCAGTGTTGGATAGATGCCTGAGAGGTTCTGAACAAGTATAGGATCTCTGACTGAAACTACATGGAACGTCTGACCAGCAGAAACCAGGCTATCAACTACAAAATATTTGAAATATTTTAATTTGCAGTGAATATTTTTAAACTAAACATACTGCTGTGCTGCGTGCCACAGTTTGAGGTAGGTCCTTTTGTATTAAAGTTTCTTCTAATTTAAATTAATTCTGATTTAAAAACCAGTACATTTATCTAGTTATCAGCCTATATCCAGATCTACACCAAAAAACTACTTTAGTTAACTTAGAAGCAGGATGAACCTAAAACAATAACATTTCAAATAAAGGACATCAAGATAAAAAAAAAAGGTGCTGTCTTCTATAAACCTGAAACACTTTGTCAATATAGATGTGCGTTTATAATACACTTGAATGCAACATAAAAGTTTCCTGTAATACAGTAACATACTCTACATGCATGGCAGTTTCATCAGGTTATTCACCAGAGCAGAATAACACCAGTCCTTCCTTGGTAGAAACAAGGCACAACGATGCAACTGTTTTATTTTTATACACATTGTCAAACGCCGTAAAGCCACAGAAGGGAGTTAGTATCTAAATTACACGTCCTCGATATCACAGCCAAGTCAAGGGAACAGTCAATACAGAGGAGGCATCATGAAATATGCTAATGGAGGAGCTAATGACAGAGCTAATGACAGATCTGCCATAGCAACAGCGTTTGATAGACATTTTCTAACTCCGTGCCACATGTGCATCTTCAGCTGTCAAAGACCAGGAGAAATCCAGTATCTCTAACTAAACTAATGGGAAAACAAAGGCATACTGTCAGGTCCGCTCGGTCCGACCTGCCTCTCTTTCTTTTTCCTCTCCTGCTCTCCCTTTTTGCGGGATCAACACCTCAGCTGTGTTTCATCGGGTAATTAGTGACTCGTGGGTCGGTGCGCACACCTGAGGCGTATTCCGGTGATTTGTTGGCTTCCTTATTTATACCTCGTGGTCGCTGGAGCATTGCAACATGTAACGTACTGTACTTAAAGAAAGTTATACAAAGGTTGTGTTTGACCCGCATTTGTTAGACGTGTGTAAGATGCTACGCTGACAGTCTCTGTGCCTTTTGGCTTGACCTTATCACGCTAATTATGCGGTTAGCAACACAGAAATATGTCCTTTTGTCTTCCACGCTGACAGTCTCTGTGCTGTGGATTGCATTGTTTACGTTGGTTCTTTTTGTTCACCTGTCCGTTCTCATCCTCTGCTATCCTAGTTCCTGTCGTTAGTTTGTGTGTTTACCGTCCTGGTCTCCTTAGTCATCACTGCCCTTCCCTTGTTGTATGTATTATGGACCCTGTTATGTTGTTTTTATTCCATTAAACCACCTTTTTTGTACTAGCACCTGGGTCAGCCATCTTGAGTCCAGTTCTCCCTCACCCTCCTGGTGAGGGGGACTAAACCATACCACATACAGTAGTGCTGTAAGGAAGACATTGTCAGCAAACTTTTTTTTCAGCATGTGAAACAGGCACAAACCTTCAAAAATGCAAAAACAATCAACTGTGCATTATAAAGAATATTTCCCTGAGCAAAAAGGCTCAATCGGCATAGGACTACACTCATTTCCCCTTGAGCACCACTCTGAAACTTAGTCAGGGGATAAAGGTGCACAGGTTCAAATAACAGCACATATCACAGTAGGATCCTGCTGCTTACACCTTTGCCAGTTTACTGTAAATTGGACATATTTCACATTGCTGCAGGTTCTTTTTCAATGCTTTTATTGCACATCTTATTTCACAGGCAGCCATCGGTTTCCATTCACTTTAGTAATGTATAAAATTTAAATTTTGGAATTTGCTGAAATCACAAGTCATCACTGCAAGATTGTGCACTGGAAAGCATGCATCAAGTCAATGTTGCCTTGTGTGGTTCTGGGATCATATATTCATATTCACATTTCAAGACTTCAACACTGGCTTTTGGAAAGCACCAGAGCACGAGCCTCATGAACAACAGTTCACATTTCAAGACTTCAACACTGGCTGCTGGAAAGCACCAGAGCACCAGCCTCATGAACAACACCGTTCACAGTTCAAAGTTAGAAGGCAAAACAACCAACAAGCCAACACTGACATCTTCGAAAGGAAGAGTGAGAACATGAATGCTGCTTCCATTTAAGACGTCAACAGAGTAGAGTAAGTAGCACATACCCAGCAGACCTTCAATCACATCATCAGATAACACTGCTGGAACAAAACACCATAATCAAATCAAACCAGGTGTCTGTAAGTCGACTGCGGTCTGCTTTGAAATACACTTGGTAAGAATCGAGAATCTCTGTGATTTGTAGTAAACTGGCTACAACAGGCAGAAATGCAAATGTTCTTTGTAATTCACATGCAATGGGTTGTCGCTGTCAGTTACCATCAGCCATTAAAGCAAGCACAGTGTTGTACTACAGCATGTAGTGTATATTCAGAGAATCAGTGTGTTACAATTCACCCAGTCGACAAACTGACTTCCCACTGTCAGTAACATGTGGCCACCCGCTCACTTCTGCTCTCACCAAACAGCAGAAGTGAACAGATTCCTGGTGTTTAAATCTTTTTAATACTGCTAATATAACACTCCAAGACTTCACTGTGAACTCCCCTGACACCATATTGGTTGAACAGCAGAACCTCAGAGGCAGATTTCTTTAAATTGCTGCAAATACACCACCTTCTTGACCAGATCTTACCAAGTTGTTATAATTTAGTTGGACTGACCATCTAAGGAATAAACAGAAGCTCCTACATCCCAAAATGACATGTTTATTTCACCAAACATCCTGAAATATGGTACAAAAAAGCTGCTCAAAACTACAATCTGAGTACTAATAGGCAGGAGTTTGTCTACTGTGGAATCAATACACCCCATTAAACGCAAAGCAGTCACAGTGTCAAGCGGCCCTCTTCACCAGGGCCAGCAAACATATTGTACAATGTTTTTAAATCACTAAGTCCCATTACTGGAGACATCTTTCTCTTCTTCTTCTTGGAAGATGAAGCGTGGGCATTAAAAATGAGGTACGACAAAATAACTTGACTATAAAGGATTATTTGTTCATGTTTGGACTCGATAAGAGTGAAATGCATCAAAGCTCAATCATCCGCTCACTATTTTATCATCCTTACATAATAAGGACAAGATTCATTTCCTGACTTCACAAAAGAAAAACAAGTTTACAACTTTAGATGACTTTGGGTCATGCTCAAATCAAATGTTTTAATTAATTACAATACATGTAATAATACATGGTACATGGCATTAGCCCTGGAGGGAGGTGCACCTGCTCTCAGTCGCTATCAGACCCACCGCAGCCCTCGCCGTTGGACACTCTAGTCATCCACGGTGATGTTACGGAACAAGTAGGCCATGGACTCTCCGTTGTGGATGCGGCGGATAGCCTCAGCCAGTATCATGCTGACGTCCACAGTCTTGATTTTGGGACACTGTAGCTTCTGTACTTCATGGGGGACTGTGTTGGTCACCACCACCTGAAGATACAATGCACACGAAGACTGTGCTTAAATGAGATGTTTTTAACAAGCAGTTTAATAGTGCAATTTCTTATCAGGCTGATTTACCAATAACAGACCTTTAAAATCCACACTGAGTGAGTGCTGACATGTAGTGTAGCACCACGTTGCAAAATTCAGAAAGTTGCCTGGAGAGCTAAATGAAGATGTCTACCCAGTATATATGAGAAATAAAGGCAGATTACAAGTAATATATGACCATATTTTAAATAAATCTAGTATAATAAACCCAAACCATAACCGCATTAGTACTTTTCATGCAATAAATACTATATTTAAACTACAATGTAACTATTGTTTATAGTGAAACTGACAGTTTACAGAAATACAACTGTTGGATACAAACATCTTTTCCTTATTCTAGTTAGAACATTATTCTTAACAATTCAGCCAAAAAAAAAAACCTTTCCATTAGAAGGAAGCATCTCATTTTACACTGTGCTCATAAAGAAGAGATGAGAGCAAATGAAGCAGCACATTTTCTGCTGGTTTCACCAAGTTCTCCACATCGCCTTGTTTCTCACGTTTCATATTTACTAGAACAGGTGCACTATGACAGATCAGGTTTTCATTCAACCCCAACAGTAACTGCTTGTACTGATTAGACTTAAACATGAGAAGAGACAAGTTTAGGCGTCCTCACCTCATCAATGGCAGACTCCTCTATGAGGCGAGGGGCTTCAGCAGACAGTAAACCGTGTGTGGCCATGATATAAATTTTATAGGCTCCTCTCTCTTTCAGGATCTCTGCAGCTGCAACAAAGTCTCCGACGTCATCTATAATGTCATCCTGGAAAAACAAAGACAAGAGCTGAACCTTTTCTCTGCTCTGTCTCTGACAGCCAGGACTTCATACTCCCACTGTTTTCTAAAACAGCAGGCCAGTTTTCCTGCTTTCAGTTTGTGTTTAGGTTTAATTGGTACCGTACAGGATTACTTGGTATTTTAGGATAACAACAAGAACATGTGCATGAGACTATGTACTGGATGAAGAGCAGCTGTTGGGTGGACAAGTGAGAATTACAGAACAATAAGAAATGCCAAAACATAGTGTAGTAGTAACAGAAGCAGAGAAGAATGATTAAGAACAGCTAAATCGTTCTATAGTTTGCTAACATGAGCTACCACCATAAACTACTGGACGTACCATAAGGTTGTAGCAGCAGCAGCATCTTCTTTGTTCTTTCTTTTCAATCATGACATTCATCTTATATTCATTTGCTCCTCTTAAAAAGTAAATATTCCTCGCTTTAACTTAATATTGAACATACCCTTAATTAGAAGTGGTCAAGAGTAGACTAAAGCCAAAGATTATTAATATATCACTTCATAATCGGACTTAACATACAAACACAGACATGTTCCAAACAACACCCAAGTAAAGAAAGCAAGCAAACTATCAGAGCAGCATTTCATGTAACATTCATAAACACCAGGACATGATGCACTGAGTTCTTATACTTATACTTCTTATTCAGTACTTGAACAAACTCAGCGTTTGATATATTTAATTCATCTTCAGGTTTGTTCCCCATATGAATCCCTTTGACAGACAAAAATCTGAACAACTTGTAATCTACTTTATCAAATTTCAGTATCTGTAATTTAATAAACTTGTGGTATGAAGGTTCTCACTAAGAACAGCTATTAATTCTTGTGTTCACTGAAATGTACACTGGTTTGTTTTATTGCTTATGAATTCAACTTTTCTGAGGCAAGAGGAGGAAAGTGTTTATATACACATTTCAAAATTTACACTTGTCTTGCTTTAAAACCACACATCATACATTACATTACATTACAAGTAGAATGAATTTACTGCATTTAGCAACTTATTCAACAACGTCTGTGCAGCATCTTACCACAATGATGGCAATTCTTCCTCCCACGTCTCCGACTACAGTGATGGGAGGTTTCTCCTTGGCCATCATTACTGAGAAGGAAAGCAGAACTGGTTACCTGTCAGCACACATCCAGGAGTGAGCTACCACCATAAACTACTGGACGTACCATAAGGCTGTAGCAGCAGCAGCATCTTCTTTGTTCTTTCTTTTCAATCATGACATTCATCTTATATTCATTTGCTCCTCTTAAAAAGTAAATATTCCTCGCTTTAACTTAATATTGAACATACCCTTAATTAGAAGTGGTCAAGAGTAGACTAAAGCCAAAGATGATTAATATATCACTTCATAATCGTGGTATGAAGGTTCTCAATAAGAACAGCTATTAATTCTTGTGTTCACTGAAATGTACACTGGTTTGTTTTATTGCTTATGAATTCAACTTTTCTGAGGCAAGAGGAGGAAAGTGTTTATATACATTTCAAAATTTACACTTGTCTTGCTTTAAAACCACACATCATACATTACATTACATTACAAGTAGAATGAATTTACTGCATTTAGCAACTTATTCAACAACGTCTGTGCAGCATCTTACCACAATGATGGCAATTCTTCCTCCCACGTCTCCGACTACAGTGATGGGAGGTTTCTCCTTGGCCATCATTACTGAGAAGGAAAGCAGAACTGGTTACCTGTCAGCACACATCCAGGAGATCACGTGTACTGCATTTCATAAAAAATAAATCAAAAGCAAGAAGAAATCTCAGTAGATTGGGTAAAATGGGTTGAGAAAATATTTAGTGATTTAGGCAACTCGATGCCCCAAGTTACTGGGTCGTTACTGGATGATGTAATTAACTGGTTTGTATAAATTCAGTTGGAGTAATACAGCGCTGTACTAAATTTAAAATGGCAATCAAAAGCCAGCAATTGCTTCGGACGTTACCCCCCATTCTACCCCACCTACCCCTAGGAGATTAAAGTGAAACGTAGGAGAGCACATGCCATGCAAAAATCAAATGAGAAGGTTTTCTGCCCAGTATACCCAATCAGAAGGCAAAGTAGGACTGCCTGGACACACACAACCTCAGGCCCGGGCTGTGGCAGGCACACGGCAGCAGTCTGCATATGAACCAACACGCACCAGGCAATCATATTTCACACAAGACAACACTGGCTGACAAGCACTAATGAGGATTCCTTCACTTGCCAATGTTGTGGGGTCAGTCCTCAGTCGAACATCCCTGCTGCCTACTTTTACATGCACACAATAATCAGATTACATCCCACTAAACACTGGAGATGGAACAGCTAATCGGACACCACATAACAATATGTCATTTCATTATTTAGATTAGACCAGCTTAATTTGCCATTATCATTATATATGAGCCAGGTTACTTTATATCATGACACTATGGGGTTTAAATGTAATTCACTCCAGCAAGCAGCTCCAATTACTTCTGGCAAATTGTAAACATCCTGGTGTTGTGTCATTCCAGTTGCCAAAAAAGACAACTTTTCAGTCTGCTGGAAGAAGGTAAACCACCACAGCAACAAACAACAGAAATATAAATAAACCGCTGCAGATATGAAAGTGCTTAATGTTAATTAATATATGCACACAACCAGAAAGTACAATAAATTACTCTATAAACAATGCTGTTAACTGAACCATTAAAATTGGACTGAAGTGTTTGTTATATAACCCAATTTTTAAACCTGACCCTAACAGCTACATGTTGAGTACTGCTGTGCATGTAAATGTAATCATTCACAGGGTATAAGGAAACAATCAACTGGTAAACAATCAGCCAGCAAAGCTGATTGTGAAGGAAGAAGTACAGTGGGTACGGAAAGTATTCAGACCCCCTTAAATGTTTCACTCTTTGTTATATTGCAGTCATATGCTAAAATCATTTAAGTTCATTTTTTTCCTCATTAATGTACACACAGCACCCCATATTGACAGAAAAACACAGAATTTTGGCCATTTTTGCAGATTTATTAAAAAAGAAAAACTGAAATATCACATGGTCATAAGTATTCAGACCCTTTGCTGTGACACTCATATATTTAACTTAGGTGCTGTCCATTTCTTCTGATCATCCCTGAGATGGTTCTACACCTTCATTTGAGTCCAG